AATACAAAGAATTACAAACATTCAAATAATTTGTAATTACTACAAATAGTAATAGTTTTCATAGCCTTTTTGTTAAGTGATCCACTAATCAATTTTATGTAACATAAAACATGATTAAAGTAATGTTTAAAATTAGGTTAAACGCAGACTACTTTAGACCCGGAAGTAGGATTCGTCTCGTCATCACTGAACAACCGGATTGCCTGCAGTACTGACACACACACACACACACACTGCTGCCACCTGCTGGTTCACCTTCCTCATAACACCTCAGGGCTGACAGTCCAAAACTTAGTTATTTGTTTATCATTGTTTGTTATACACAAACAAATAACATTTTTATCATTTTAAGAGCTCAAAAAATTCTCTGTATTTCTGCACTTTAAGTCCAAACAATGTGTTTTTAAATCAGCCATAAAATGAAAAAAATATTGGAAGATTTTTCAGTTACTGGATGAAAAAAGAAAATGATTTTATTTTTTTTACAGCATTTTTGAAACAATTATGTTTCAGGTGTTTATCAGGCAGACAAACAGGTTGATATTTATAATCTATTGTTTGCTAAATAATTCAAAATGTCATGTGTGGGTCGGAACAGTACACAGCACAAACATGCATCTGCTCTGCTGTTGGTACACCTGTCCATGTTTCTGATTGGTAGCACACTGCAAACTCCACCTTCCTGTGACCTCCCCTGTACCGATGTGTGTAAGCTCCAGGCTGACCCACTGAGCTGATGTCAGGTCTCACAGGACGCACCTCATGTTGACCAACACAAACTGCTGTGTGCTTACCTGCAGCATCCAGGTGTGTGACCTGCAGGTGCGTCGGCGGGTCTGAAGCATGGCCGCTCGCTATCCTGAGGGCTGATTCCAGCAGCTGGCTCTGATTGGAGGAGAGAAGTGCCAATGAAAGTTTAGAAAGAGACGCAGGAGGCGTCGCATCTTTATTCCTACAATTCCCAGGTTTTACATTTTCTTTGATTGGATAACACGTCTGACACGCCCTACTGCTATTGTTCAGCACGGTGACATCATTAAAGGTGTACTCACCTGCAGCTGCACCTGCTGGCACTGCAGCATCTCCAGGTGCTGCAGTGTCTGCTGGCTCATGCTCCGCCCTCTGTCCCCACCCTCCCTGATGACACGGTGATGTCACAGTGATGTCACATCTCCACTTCATTTAAAGTGACTTTTTATAACACAGAATTATTTTCCTCTTATTGTTTTTGTTTTCAGCATAACGAGACGACAGGTGCACACAGTTTACCTGTCAGCTTGCAGCAGCTTCTGGATGCCGTCAGCCAGCTGAGCCACTCGAGCCTCCATATCAGACTGAGCCTGTAAACAAACACAAACAGAGGTGCTAAACATTAGCTGCAGTTCCTCTGATGTCCAGCAGAGGCAGCAGTGAGTCAGTCCCAGAGACTCACATGTGGAAAAAGCAGAAATAAACATGTGTACGGGCTGAATCGATCTATCAGCTGTACTCACCTTGAAGAGAGGAGCAGCAGCTGCCAAAGCTGCAGTGGCAGCGGCGGCGGCTGTGCTACTGGCATCTCCCAGGTCACCAGAGGACAGCGGCATCTCCATCTGGACCCCAGCATCCTTCGCTGCATCCCGGGAGCTCAGAGCAGGGGCGTCCGGGGGGTTTCCCGCAGAGTGGAGCGGCATCGGGTCCAAGAAGTGAACTTTGACCTCCCTCCTGCGGGGGGCGCTGTGAGAGCTGAGCATCACAGATAAGATGAGATGTGTTTTTATGAGCAACCTGTAGCAAGTCTGAGGAAACACGTTTCACTCACCGCTGCTTCAAAGCCGCCAGCACGACTCCTCGACCCCCAGACGCAAACCGTGACGTAAGGACGTCGTCACCTGATGATGCAAGCAGAGGTGGAGTCAGTATTGTGATGATTAAAGATAAACACAGAACCTTTTACGACTCAAATTGAATTGATTAATTATGGTGAGAGGTGTGAGAGTCTCGGAGGCTCACTCTCACACCGAGTCAAACTAAAATACAAAAAATATGAATTTTGATCTTTTTACGATCATGTGTGAAGAAATTCTGTCTAACGCAGGGGTGGACAATCTCAGTCCACGAGGGCCGGTGTCCCTGCAGGTTTTAGATCTCACCTTGGGTCAACACACCTGAATCACATGATTAGTTCATTACCAGGCCTCTGGAGAACTTCAGGACATGTTGAGGAGCTAATTTAGCCATTTAAATCAGCTGTGTTGGTTCGAGGACACATCTAAAACCTGCAGGGACACCGGCCCTCGTGGACTGAGATTGCCCACCCCTGGGGTCCGTTCTTCGTACCTCGCTTACTACATCCAAGATCAAATCATCGCGCCAACTTTGAGCTCGCTATTCCGGTTCTCCGAACACACCTGTTGTTGACGATTAGTACAGCTGGATGAAGTAATGTGAGATCACTGGGTGGCTATAACAGGGGCTACGCATCGATAGTAGAAACATTGATCGGCAACCCTTTGATTGGTCGGCGAAAATGTCGAAGGAGCGCGCTCGGTATTTTTCGGCAGCAGAGCAAGAACTCTTGATTGAGGGATTTCAGGAGTTTCAGAGTTTAATTAAAACGCAAGGGAACACTGCAAAGGCTGCAAAAGCAAGGAGAGAGGGCTGGCAGAAAGTTGCTGACAAATTAAACTCGTAAGTAATTTAATAATAATAATAATAATGGATTGGATTATATAGCGCTTTTCAAGGCACCCAAAGCGCTTTACAATGCCACTATTCATTCACTCTCACATTCACACACTGGTGGAGGCAGCTACGGTTGTAGCCACAGCTGCCCTGGGGCAGACTGACAGAAGCCAGGCTGCCATATCGCGCCATCGGCCCCTCTGGCCAACACCAGTAGGCGGTAGGGTAAATTTATTATATTTACATTATATCCTCTTTCACATTAGAGCCACAACAGGACCCACTAGAACATGGGAACAAGTAAAAGTGAAATATAAGAATATTCTACAGAATGGTAATATTTATCACTTATATTGCTTTTAGTCTCTTGGAAAGAGACCCTGAAATAATCTGTTTGTTTGTTCATAACAGCAACCAAGAAAAGGGCAGAGCAAAAAAAGACAGGTGGTGGTCCTGCACCCCCTCGTCAACAAGTTGGTTAAGTAAATAATACCCTCACGGGAAAATCGATATCTCTCTATGAGCACACTGTCGCGCTGAGCTAAAGGATCCTGTCTGTCCCGCAATATACGCTGAATTCTGAGAACTCTCCTTATCAATCTTGCACCTTCCGCAATGGGCCGATGTAAATCAATTGCAGTTAGAGGCTACATTAATTTTCTTTCTGTAAGCACTTATTGAAATTATCTGAGCACATTACAAGTACATATTTGCTTACTCTGTATGCTCAAATGTGACCCGTTATAGCCAACAGAAAAAAAGCGGAGGCCCGAAAAACAGGTGGGGGTCCTCCACCACCACCACTCACAGAGGCTGAGCAGTTGGCTTCCACATTTGTGATAATGTTGGCAGCATCACATATGATCTTCACAGTGCAGAGAACACAAATTAGCATCCATTACTATAATGAAATAATTTGTTAGTTTGAAATGCTACAGGGAACTATGTACCTGTACATTAATGCTGTGGAAAGACTTCCTGTTCACATAGTCTCCTTCATTTACTGAAGGAGCAATGATTGGAATGTGAGTGCCATCTGTACAGCCAATCACGCCTGGGAACCGTGAGAATAAATGTAAAATTTAAGTAGTAGTTCAAGTATCACCACATCATGAATTAAGTTTGTTCATCCTGCTACCTGCAATTTTGTGGCATCCCTCTTTGATAAATCTTGTGGGTCTATGACCGGGGAACACCACAAACGAGTACAGGAGACGTTTCAGTGCAACTGTAACATTCCTGACTGCCCGACAGACGGTAGCCTTGGAAACGTGCTCAGCGTCACCAATATTATACAGAAAGCTCCCGTTTGCAAAAAACCGAAGTGCAATACAAATAATATGTACAGAACTGAGAGAGCGATGTGTCACATGAGCAATATTAGGCCTGAGGATGTTATTCAAATAAATTATAGATTGTGCTGAAAAACGGTAACGTTCACACAGAAAATCATCAGGAAATGATAAAATGTCCAAACGCGCTCTAATCACTCTCTCCCGGCAGAGAGCTCTGCGGAGAATTTGGGCTTAATCTACTGGCTCTTCAAGGAAGGGGCACGCCACTCCAGGGATAACATCTGGGGTGGCTGTAGCTCAGGTGGCAGAGCAGGTCAGCCACTAATCAGAAGGTCGGTGGTTCGATCCCAGGCTGCCTCCTGGCTGCATGCCAAATATCCTTGGGCAAGATACTAACCCCGTGTTTGCCTACTGGTGGTGGTCAGAGGGCCCGGTGGCGCCAGTGTCCGGCAGCCTCGCCTCTGTCAGTGCGCCCCAGGGCACCTGTGTGTGAATGGGTGAATGACTGAATGTAGTGTGAAGCGCTTTGGGGTCCTTAGGGACTAGAAAAGCGCTATACAAATGCAGGCCATTTACCATGTCTGACACTTCCTACAGTCAGGTTTCCGACAAAGAGGCGGAGAAAGTCAGGGTTAGTTGAAGTAAACCTGCTAGGGGGCAGGTTAGCTTCACGGAGTGTGTCGTCATAGTGACTCACTCAGAATTAATCTAAACTCGCTTTGTGAAACCGAAAACCCAGAATTTTCGTTAACTCAGGGTATACTTACTCAGAGTTTGCACTAAACCGGCTTCCTGAAATAGGGCCCTGGTCTAACGTCTAGAGACGTATCTGTAACGCGAGGCTGCTGATTGTTGGCTGAAATGCGATCTTCACTGCTTTTAAAGGACCGTCTGGTTTAATGGCTTTAGGTGTAGCAGAGTTATTAGAGTTTTGTTTTTGAACGTTATTGTGACCTGTATTGCTGTATAGAGGGTGTGTGTCACAGGCACGATCTATGACACTGAACAGCGACCCTCAGCCTCAAAGATGTCCATTAAAATCTCGTCAGTCACGATGTCCCAGAATTATTTCAAACCAACAAAGATTTACACTATATTTTTATCCTATTTTATTTTCCACGTTCATTTCAGTTTGAGTTTTTAATTGTTATTTAAAAGACTACGACTAAGAATTTTTACTTTAGTGAACTGAAATGTGCCGACACAGCTAGTTTTAGTGAACTAACCCTACTCCTACCTCAGTGTTTCTCTGTGCTGCTGGCTTTTAAACCTCACCCTGAGCTAAAGTGAACGGCACAGCTCCACGCAGCTGTGAGTCACGTGAGCAGCTATGACTTTATCCAAAGTTTCTGGATTTCTTCCATGACCCTCACAAACTCCCCCACACCCTGATGCACGGACACACCTTCAGTCTGGGCACGTTTTAAAATAATGAACACATCTGCCAGGTATTATATTACCCCCCCCACCTGTGTCCATCGCCTCAGCGAGTTTTCCGTCTCCTCCTCCGAAGATCTTACGGGGCTTTAAGTACGCTGCTGACCGATGTGAAGCAGCGATATCCGAGTTCTGTCTGGGACTCCGCCGCCGCTGCTTATTCTGTCTCAGTTCGGTCAGAGTAGGTGGACGAAAGTCCCGCAGTTTTCGGACGGTTATCTGGACGGATCCGGGTCCGCCTCCGGGACCGGTCCGGTCCGGGTGGAGGACTCGTGTGGAGCGGATTAAAACGTCCCCGGTTTCTGAGCTGCAGAAGGACTGATCCGGACTGAGTGCAGCCGGAGCAGACATGACGCTGTTTGCCTACAGTGTTAATAAAGCTTATTTAAAGCTGCACTGTTAGCATGGAAGCTAACTTCGTCCAGACTTCCCGCTCCGGCTCTAAAACCCGCCGCTGGCCGGGTAAAGGTCGGAGGAAGGCGGCGGTCAGCGTCGCGGGAGGCGAGGAGAGAGTTAAAATAATTTACACCCCAACGAGACGCCAGGAAAAAACCCCACAGAAAATACGACAGAAAATAGAAAATGTTCAAACACAGCAACTGTTGCTGACAACAAACAACCGAACTTCCGGCTTCCGCTCCAGACAGGATGCTGAAAAAACTCCGCTTCAAAATCAAAACACGAAGAAGAACAAACGGCATTGAGAAACAAAGTAAACACAGCAAATTAAAATTTTATTTATTAGCCGAAAACTGGACAGTACACCTCTATCATAGAAAAATCAATGAGTGCGAAAATGACTGAAAAAATGTATTCAAACGAATTTTAACTCAATTAAATAACAAATAAAAACATAATGAATGAACTTAAATAAAATTATAATGTAACAATATAAAAAAACCAAAAGAACCAGAGGTCTTGTCGAGATGAAATATTATTTTACATTCATAATCTGTGACTATTCATAATCATTATTACCATTGCATCACTTATGATGTATCATTATTATCATTTCATTGACACATTTATGGAAACTGGTGAGGTTATATTAAAGTCCGTATTTCAGGTGTTAGCATAAGCACATAATCTTTCATTGCAGGTGCAACTGTAATCATGTTATACACATATTGCATAATTAAAGGGTTGAAGCTCGGTCAAATTAATTAATGGTTTGAAGCTACGGGCAGCGCGATGTCTGGCCGATCAATGGAGCAAAGTTCAGCTATTGAAAGGTTGCCTACATGTTTACCGTATAATTTACTACATATAGCCTGTGTGCATTCAGCAGCCTCCTGCATTGAAGTTTGCCTGGTAACAGAGGACGTAGAGGGGGGTCAGGTTAACAACACAGACACATAGTCTGCCTGAGGGAACTGATTGCAAATGCTGTGTACCTGCATACGTGACAGTTTAGTTCTGATAAGTCCAGTGTAAGAGTGTAATAACAGGATGCATCTGTTAGGTGGACGAACATCGGAAGGAACTGTTCTTTTTGTAATATCTCCTAAGATAGAATTACTGGAACATGCATGTTGTTTTTCATCTGTAGTGACGCATGTCACCATGGTCATCATGTCTATAAGTATCACACCCCAACTATTGTTCGGAGAAGTTCGATGCTTTTTGGGTGATCGTGCTCGACTTCCCCCCATATGTTTTTCAATAAAATCCTGTTTTGACGCACCTGAATGGGACTTTGCAGTCATTTGTCTCTCACCTCAAATTTGAACCACGACAGTCTCTTCACATAACAATGGATTCTTGATCTTTGGTTTTTACGTATTTGAACGACTTTTGAATGTGCCATGAGTTTGGGACATCATTCATAAATACTTGAAACACTCGTCTCACTCGTTCTGGAAGCTGCAGTTGTGAAAACAGCTTCTTTGTCAGAGTGCATTTTACTGCTTGAGAGAACTCTATGTTTTTCTGAAATGTGTTTGAAACGACCCTGTAAAGTTGGACTGGTTCAGGAGAAATTATGATTGAAGATGGTTTGCCTTTATAGAAGGACTTACTGATGAAGTTTAGATTTAGTTTAATGCGATTATATTTGGAGGTCGGAACACCAGTCACAGAACTTTTGTTGCTCTTCGGTAAGTTTCGGTTTCTGACCTGAACATTCGTGACATTTTTCTCTCAAATGTAAATTTTTATTTGTGTTTTGAGTTTAAAATTATTAATTAATAGCTGAATGTTAAGCTTAATGTAAGCCTCATGTGGTTTTTTTCTTTTTAATTTAGATGAAAAGTCGCAAAAATATCGGAGAGGATCTGCTGCTCTGTGCGCATGCGTCCTTCAGTCCGTCACTCGGAGGTTCCCCTCAGGCAGCTCGGAGCTCAGGTGGAATAAAAACTGTCCTCCTTCTGCTGTAAAGGGAAACTGAGCGCTGCTGCTCGGGAGGCTGAAGAAGAACATCCCCAGGAGAACAGAGGGACCCTCATCACAGGGCGGGAACACGGCGCTAACCGGGCTAGCCGATAGCCGTTAGCAGCAGCAGTCCGTTTAAAGTGCTGTTTTATCAGGTAGGTTTGTTCATCATGTCACTAAAGCCCAGGTAACCTCTGCTATCTGAAGCGTTACTAAACCAGCCAACCTAAGCTGAACGGTACACCTGTAAGGTCACATTGAAAGAATAACACGTGAGCGCCGGAGGAGCTTTAAAAGAGGCGGACCACGAAGTGCGCTAAAAATGGAGGATTTATGAATGGAGTCTGGTATGTTAGCATTACTGCTAATTGTCGCCCTGTTTCCCCTCCCACACCCTTCTCCTCCCACAGAGTCCGAATCATGGCGGTCCAGGTGTCCGAGTCCGACCAGATCAAACAGGTAAGTGACCCCAAGAGTTTTCATGTCGACTCTGAGAAAAGAGGCTCAGAATTCAGAGGCACAAAGTCCGGTTACTGTGGCCTCCAGGGTCCATAGAAAGCACGCACTGAACTATACAGCAAGGAGTCGAAGGGGCTTGGAAAGAAAAGCGTCTGGACTTCTTTAGGTTGCTGGAAGACATTTCACTAGTGATGGGTCCAGCAACACCGACGCATGTATCAAGCTAGCGATGCCTGTATCGGTGCGTGCGTCGCTTTAAGAAAAAGTCACGTGATCGATACAGCTGCTGTATCGCTCATTGCCAACGCGCCAAACCGTGTTTAAAAGGTACCGTATCTGCCAACGGAATGAGTCGCCACCAAAAAAAACCACAAAATTACTCTCGCAAAGACTAAAAAACAAAACACATCAATGTTTCTGCTGTGTGGGATCATTTTGATCTTTTAACTGCAAATAAGGTAATAGTTTGTCTGTCTTTGTTTCAGTGTAATCTATCAGAACAGGAAAAACAGCAATGTGACTTGAAGTTTAAATTATTTATTTCATTTGATGCAGGATAAATGTTGCATCTGTTCTGCGGAGCTTTCTTACACAAACAAAAGCACATCCTCAGTGTTTAGGCATTACAGAGCCAAACATGAAAATGAGGAGACAAACACACCGAGAATGAACACTGGTAGGCCTATATAGACACTAAACATCTTTATCATCATTTTTTTTTTTAAAATTAATGTGTTTTATTATTTTCAAATCAAGCATCTAGGAAGACTGCTCTGGACCAGGCAGTCCTGAATTTTATTATAAAGGACTGCCAACCCCTTAGTATTGTGGAGAGAGAGTGTAACGTACTGAGGGAATAGGAAGACATCTTATCAGAACCTTTTCCACCTGGCTTTACAGTTTCTGTTTACCCCAGCTGTATCTGTTCCTGTGAGTTTTCCAAAGCTGGGGAAATGGTGTGTTTAAAAACAAAAAACGCAATAGACTGAATGCAAAAACATTGGATAAACCTATTTTTCTGAATAGAAATTTATAATAAACTCTGAGTCAAATACATTTAAATGGGTAATATTACATTCACAATACTTTCATTTTAATTTTCACATAATGTCATTCATAATATATTTTAAAGATGTCTACAATATTTGTAATATAGAAGATATAAAATGATTCCATGGAAAGTACAATACCTTACAGTGTACAAGTATGACTAGGTCATTGAATCAGTGTCTGTTGTGAGTCTCAAGTAAGTTTCCTGTAATGATATTTAAGGTCCAGCAGGTGTCAGTATGGAGCAAAACTGTGCCGACGCAGTGTCGATACAGTTTGGGGAATGTGCTGAAACGCTTCACGAGGCCTCATCTACCCATCACTACATTTCACCTCTCGTCTGAGAAGCTTCTTCAGTTCTGGGTTAGCTTCTCGAATGAGTACTCCTTAGACTACGATGACCTGGATGACTGAGAACCTTCACAGATATACAGCAAGGAGGCCTGTGAGGGACAAAAAAGGAGAGAGCGACAGACCCGTAGGTAAAAATAAATAGATAAAAACAGAATCAATCAAAACAAACTCAAATACCGTCAATGCCAGAACACTGTGCCAGCTTATTGGGACCAATACATGAGGGGACAAGAAAGTAATTAGTTTTAATTTAGAAATGAAAAATTCCTTTAAAGAGTAGCTAAAAGCAATGCACATAAATAATAAATAAATGAAACCGTATAATTGAGAGATAGGATCATGAAATGTTTTTAAAGTAAAAAATTAAGCACGTAAATTAGAACGTATGATAAAAGTAACTTCAAAGATAAAGTATTTAAGATAAGATAAAACCTTATTAATCCCTCGGCACAGCACTGACAGAAGTTACAGAGCGTGAGCAGAAAAAAAAAAAAAAATAAATAAATAAATATATATATATATATATTAGAGATGGACCGATCCGATATTACGTATCGGTATCGGTCCGATACTGACCTAAATTACTGGATCGGATATCGGAGAAAAATAAAAAATGTAATCCGATCCATTAAATATCACGAAAGCACCTCACAAAACTTGCAACACGCCGTAACTCACCTCAGAACGTTAGCAGTGGAGCAGTTGCATCACGTGATAGAGCGGCTGTGGCATGCGGGACCTGTCGGTGGTCTGGATAGCATGTGGAGCTTCGCTAGCAACCTGCATCTGCACTTTCATCTCCGACAAAGTTATCCCCGAGAGAAGTAAAGCAAGGTGTAAGTCCATCTCTGAATGTTTGTAAAGCATTCCCACGCTAAGCTTAACGAGCGACTGCCTCTCGCTCTCCGGCTGCTACTTCAATCGTGAAACTGCTTAAATGATCAGCTGATCAGCTTTTCTGTCGCGAGTCCGTCTTTGTTTTTGGCCCACTTCGCACCAGAAAGAGCGAAACCAGCGGCTGAACAACAGCAGCACGTTTAAGCTTGATAAGCTGTTGTTAGAATTTATTTAATATTACTTTCTACACCAGGATCTTTTTCTACGTAGCTGACGGCTGGTAACTGTGCAGGGGCGGATCTAGCAAAGTTTAGCCAGGGGGGCCGATTGTGCCCCCTTTTCACTGTTCATGCCCTAAGACATACTTTTCTTTCTTATTCTCATTTAAAATGTCGAGCTTTTAATAAATAATTATCTGACACCCAAAGTTTTAATTTGATGCAAAATGAATAGAAGTCAATTACTGTATATAGTGACTATTAAGTCTAATATATATACCCTAGTAAGCTATAGTACTTTTTACTTTGGGAAGGTACCATCTGTGCAGTCTGCAATTTTGTTGAAGAAAGATGTTGAATCTATTTAAAATTTCTTGAAAAATAATTGATTTCTGTGCATTTTTTTTCACACTGCATCAAATTAAGGTTGATTACGTCGATTAAGCATCATGAGGTGGCGCGTGAGGGGTGGTTCCCTATTTTTTATTTATTTATTTTTGTTGTTGCTGGGAGTTGGAACCCTATTAGTTAGGTTGCTTAATATTTACGCTAAGTACTCTTTAAAATACCAGAATAGGGATGATGGTGTAGGTTTAAGTTTATTAGATTGATCAGTATTGCTGAACTATGAAATTTTTTTTTTTGCATACAGGTATAACAGAATAGCTTTAGTGTAGTTGTTGTTTTAAACTTGAGTATGAACTTGCAGACTTGCAAAATGCAGCAAGATATTTAAAAAACAGTTTTGTTGATTAAAAAACACTATATCGGATTCATATCGGTATCGGCAGATATCCAAATTTATGATATCGGTATCGGTATCGGACATAAAAAAGTGGTATCGTGCCATCTCTAATATATATATATATATATATATATATATATATATAATATATATTATATATAATACACACACACATAAAAGATAAAATATAAATAAAATATACGAAGGGGATAAATAGAATAAATAAAAAAAAAAAAATACAAGTGAATTGCACATTTCAAGTATTGAGGTCTATTGCACCGCTGGCTATTAACAAAAAGTATTGCACAAACGGTATTGCACAGTGAAGTGAAGAGGCACTACAGCTTAGTTGTTCCCCCCTCCTTTGTCCTCCAGAGAGGAGTTAAACAGTTTGATGGTGTGTGGGACAAAGGAGTTTTTAAGTCTGTTGGTTCTTGTCTTTGGGAGAAGCAACCTGTCACTGAACAGACTCTTCTGGTTGTTTATGGCCGTGTGCAGAGGATGCCCAGCATTGTCCATAATGTCCAGCAGTTTTTTTTTTGTTTTTTTTAAGTGTCCTTTTCTTTGCCACTGTCACCAGAGTGTCCAGCTTCATGCCGACCACAGAGCCAGCCTTCCTGATCAAGGAATTTGTTCATTTCGCTTCTGTCAGTGCACCCCAGTGCAGCTGTGGCTACAGTGTAGCTTGTTATCACCAGTGTGTGAATGGATGGATGACTGAATGTAGTGTAAAGCGCTATACAAATACAGGCCATTTACCATTTATAAATGAAAATAAATTAAATAAAAATAAATCAAATGAAACTAGAAAATATTATATGGCATTATGAAAAATTATAGTTAAGAAATGAATATCTGAAATGAAAAGCAAGTTCGTAAAAAGGGAGGTAAATGAATGGAAAAAGGTGAAACTTCAGGAAATGAAAACAGAAGAAAATAAAAAAACAAAATGGTTAAAAGTTTTTGAAAAAGAATATTGAAGGGCTTATTTATGACAAATACACTATTCTTTGTAATACTGTTTTATGAACGGGAGCTTCTGTGCTGCACTTCGCTGAACATTTACTTTTTCAGAGCAGTAGACTTTTTTTTTTTTATATTCCTTCACAAATGTGCTTTAGTGAACAAAAGGAACAGCTCCCCAGCACACATGTAAATCTAATGCCAGAAATTGCACTAACGGTTCTACTTATGAGCTCCACCTGTAGTTGAATCATATTTTTTTTTTATTTCTAAAACTGAGCGTGCCTGAAGCAGCGAGAGGACGGAGGTTAAAACCTGTTTGAGGAAATTTCTTCCCAGACCTGAACCTCGGATCCTTCTCGGCCGTCTCTCAGATTTTTTTGCTGAGTTGCTGCTCTGCAGCCGTTTTCTGAGCCGTGTCTGTTTCCTGTGTTCAGTTTAAGGAGTTTCTGGGGACGTACAACAAGGTGACGGAGAACTGCTTCATGGACTGCGTCCGAGACTTCACCACAAGAGACGTGAAGCCCGAGGAGGTAAAAAAAGATGATTGGATGACGGAAACATGTAAGTGAAGGAACATCTGGATAAAATCCTCACAGCCGTTTGTGTTTCAGTCGAGCTGCTCCGAGTCGTGCCTGCAGAAGTACCTGAAGATGACTCAGAGGATCTCCATGCGTTTCCAGGAGTATCACATCCAGCAGAACGAGGCTCTGGCAGCTAAAGCTGGCCTGCTGGGACAGCCGCGCTGACCCTGAACCTGGGCCAGGCCGGGCCGTGCTGGTCCAGCAGATCCTCCGGCGCTGTAAAAACAGACTCTGAAGCTGCGCGTGAGGACGTTTTGTTGTAGTTTCTGACATGAAGCTCCGCCCCCTCAGATTCTATCTGCAGGGTTAGTCGGCTGTTCTGTGCATCATGGGAAATGTAGTTTCAGATTCTTTCTTAACATGCAGAATATTCATTTAATTTGTCTTTTGATTGAACACAACGACCGACCGATGTGGTGATGATGATGATGAGCTGACCTCATTTTTCATGTCTGGAAATAAAAATAATCCGACATCAGGAATGTGTGGATGTTTTCATCCCTGTTAGGAAGTGCTTTACTGCATCCGGCCTCACTCTGGCTCTGCTGCAGATCACACAGTCCTGAGAAACGTTCAGACCAGCTGCAGCGTTTCACATGATTCACCTGCTCCGGCTGGAGAGCTCGTTATGTCCTGAAAGTTACTGATTAACCTGCTTTTAGTACTGAAGTGTTTCTGCAGCAGACCCTCGCTGACGGCCTTACTCTAAAGTCAAAGGTTAGTTTTATTGCATGTTGCATTGCAACTTATACCAAATGTACACTGTATAAAACAATCACTAAATCAACATTGAATACAGACTACAAATTACGAGTAAAGACTGTGGCTGCATAATAAAAGCCGGGGTGTGCGGCTCTAACAGACCTGAGAGCAGTTGTTTTTTGTTTATAGTGACTTAGAGTTCGGGCAGCTCTAATGTGAAAAGCTAAGTTTAGCAGCCACCCCTGAGAAGGCTCCATCGCCTCTGCTTTCAAACCTGGATCTCTGAATCTCCAGGAGCAGCAGTGCCTCAGTTCTGTGGTAGAACTGAAGGGTTTCAAACGGTTTGTCGGGTAAGGCGGTGCCAAACCATCGACGCTCTGAGAAACAAATAATAGATTGTTAAACTGGATCTGAAATGCACTGGGAAGGCTAGAACAACAAAATGATCAAACCCATGGAGACCATTCAAGTGTAGAACACATGACTGTCTCAGTTACAATCCAATAATCTATTTGGGTACATTTGATGTACAATAGGACTTTTATTTTGGAAGTCTGTGGTATTTGTCATTATTTCTCTGAGTGAGCACGACCACCATTCTCTGAGCCAGACTGGGTGCCAAAAAGTGATTTACTGAATCTGCAGCTTTTATCCCACCTGTCCGCACATTCTCATCGAATTACATTCCTCACAGTGAGTCACTGATGATGCACGAAGATAATCACAGCAGGCAGAAGTTAAACACAGCACAGCTGACTGAACAGATCACATTTATGAGTGATGTCATGAAACTGACATCACTCAGAGTAAACAACGAGCGAGGTAGAGGATAACTTTATTTTCCCCGTGTGGTTGTTTGAAGCAGACAGCAGTCCAACGAGCTGCATACATCCAAGACAGGGTACGGAAGACTATGACTTGTACTCACCTGAAGACTTTAAATAACTCTTTATTTATTTATGATCAGAACCCCCCATGTTGGTGTTCTTGGCCCCCTGTTAAAAATCCTGGGGAAGCCCCTGCTTTACTTTTAACGCTAACCTCGCTGTGCTGCATTCCATGTAGCGGCGTGTCTCATTGGCTGACCCCAAATTCCTTTCATAGGCGCGTCCAATCAGCGTCACCGTGTTATCTAGCTGGTGGCTCGCTGGCCCCGCCCCCTCTCTGGAGCTGGGAATGACAGTGAGGAAGAGGAGGGGAGGTCTCCGGTGGTGTCCGAGCAGCAACTTTGCCAGAGAAACGGAGAATCACCGACAGAAAGTCCGCGAAGCGAGTGGCGGATAGGGCTCAGAGCGGTGCTGTGACCCGGCAATTTCCCGGGGGATTGAGTCGTGAGACAGAGGCCGAGGTCGCGCTGAAGCAGGTGAGGCTTCCAGCGCTTTCTGTTCGCTCTCAAGTGGCTTTGTTATCAACAGGTGCCGCTAGCAGCTAGCAGCTAACGCTAGGCTCGAATAAAGTGCGTTTCTCCGAGCAGGGCGGCTCGCTGACGGGCCAAACCGACCCAGGTGTCCGAGTTTAGGCCGTGAACGGAGCCGGTCCGCCCCGGAGCCCTGTCGCTCGGGTGAGAGAAGCAGGAAAACGCAGAGAGGCTCGAGAGTGAGCTAAGGTTAGCCAGCTGTCAGTGAGACAAACTCCAGGCTGGGGGAGAGGTACCTGCATACACCGCTCAGCTTATCTTTATTTCAGTTATTCCACCTCAGCAGCGACTAAAAGCGCCATTTTTACTAAAACGCCGCCGCGTAGTCCTGCTGAAGTTAACCTGAGTGCTGGACAACCTGTCAAACTACAGGAAGCTGTATTTACAGTGAGCTTCTTATTTCCTTGTACAGAGAAATAAAGCGTTCATTTCCTGTTCCCTGCCGCTCCCCGTGACTGCCGTGGAAGGAAATGTGTTTTTGAATGGAGCCTTATCAGGTCCGAGATTACCGAGGACTCAGTGGCAGTGGGCGGCTCGGATTCAAACCTTCAGTCGGTGTGAGGGACAAGCCCAGCCCGGCCTCCTCACGCAGTCCTCTCAGCGTTTGGGGTTTCTTTATTTTTTCTCTCTTGTTTGTTTGTTTGTTTGTTTTTACCCCGCATATATGTTCCCAGTCATGTTTTGTGCGCTTTTTTTTGGGCTTTATTCTTCATTTATTTGTTGTTTTTTTTAAACAAACAAACATGTGTGACGGGCATTCAGTAAATAGTTACTTTTTTCCTAATCTGTTTTTGAATTTCTTTGCTTTTATTTTTTGCCCCACAATTTTATTAATTCTTTTTTGGTAAATAGATTTTTTTAAGTTTACATTTTCCTCATAAATATTTGTACATTTTAGTCATTTTTGGAGGGAATTTTTTGGGATCTTTTTGTGTTTTATTTTACATTTTTTAAAGTAACGTTTTTTGTCAATATTTGAATTTTTTCCATTTTTTATTATTTTGATATTTGAGTTTAGAAAAAGTCATACCTTTATGAAAAAACGAATTAATTCATGGTATGTGTTTCTTGTAAATTTGTAGTTCTCTGCTCTTGTTTTGGGGGATTTCTGTCCTAAATATTTGAGTTTCTTGTGAATGTGGGCGGTGTTAAGATGTGACCCCGCCCTCCCAGCAGCCTGTCGGCCTTCACTGTGAGTCGCTGCATTATTATTAGACTATTTTCAGCGTGACCTTGTGCTGGTTTGTCTCACTGCTGTGGACAGAGTCGTGGTTCTGCAGTTTCAGCAGGAAAAATTTGGAGAAGTTTACCTGTTTAATGTTTACCTGCGTTTGCCTTCCAATCAGACATGTCTGTGGGCGGGGCATTGCTCCAGAGAGAGTGGTGGCTCCATCAAAGCAGAGTCGCAATATTTTAAATTTTACTTGTTCATTTATTATTTTTTAATAGACTGTATCGGATGGAAACAGACAGGAGGCACAGTGGGGGGGGGGGTCGGACTCATACCCGGCTTCCTGGCCATGGATCACACGGTCGCCAGCTCACCCGCGGAGTAAACTGGTGCCCAGAATTCATTTATCTGATTGAATTTCTGTGAATAAAGTTACGATGCAGTTGCTGTGAATGTTGAGTCTTACAAAGAGCGTAGTTTGGATGCGAGCGCAGGTCCCACTAAAGGGCGTCACGCCCTCACGCCACCATCACAGGGTCTGTCTGGGAGATCTCAGTCAGACGAGGAGCCGCTGGAGGTCCCCCGTGCTCCTCCTGTGCCTCCTCACACTGTGGAGTGGATGCTGGTCTGGTCCCGGCGTCTACTCCTCCTGATGCTGCTGGCAGACGCAGCAGGTGTGGAGGAGCTGCATTACCTGTGCAGCAGGCACGAGGACACAGAACACTCCCCTTCCTTGTTGCTGCCGCTCTGATCACACCTGTGCAGGTGAGACAGAATTTGTCACCTTTCAGTGAGAGCTGTTCACAGGGCAGCCGGCTCTCGGGTGCTAGATGTTTCATCTGATGACATCAGGACTGCCTTGGAGTCCCACGGCGTGGTGAAGTGACCGCGGTCGGTGGCTGGTTGGATGTGACTCATTGCTGCATCTGCAGTTTCCTGCACATGGTCACGGTTCAGCTGCACATGCGTGTCTGGCGTGTTTGTGGAAAGTTTTCTCACCTGTAAGAGTTTCACATCAGGGCTCCAGACTCTGAGTGCTCTCCACCTTTAAGATGCAGCTCCCCTTGCTGTGTGTTCGGCTCTCAGACCTCAGACCCAAATGAAGAGATAAGATGAGTGAGGCTCTGCAGGAGAAGTGAGTTTTCTCTGAGAACTACTAGTGTTTATCTTTTTGGAGAAGGAACCATTGGACTTGTTTTGTATTTTTCTGATTTATTTTGAAGTCAAAGCTTTCCCTGAAGCTCGTCTTTGTTGTCCTTAATAAGGCTGGTGTTATCTGTGAGGGTGCTGTGGAAGTCAGGTTGGGTGCCTGTGTTTGGTTTCCTCGTCAGCGGATGTAGGTTTGCGGATGTAGGTTTGCTTCTGCAGCACAGAAAGAAAGCTGCAGGTGTTGTGCGAGCTGGATGTGGAGGGTCATTGGCTGAATTTCAGAGAGCGGTGGGAGCCTCACTTTACCATCCACGCAGAGCCCTGGTGAAGCAGTGAGGTGAGGACGGGGCTGAGGGCGTCCGGCCAAAGAGAGACAGACGTCCTCTGTTCTCAGGAATGCTCGCTCGCTCGCTCGCTTCTTCTCCGGCCTGATTGGGGGGCTCGTGCCGGGGCAGATTGGTCACTGCTGTCTGATTTGGTCCATTTGCGTCCTCAGGCAGTGGGACGTTGCTGAAGTCCAGGTGTGTATGAGGACTGAGTTTAGTCCTTTCCATGCTTATGTTTTTGTTTTTTTTTAATATTTTACAAAATTTCATTATTTAATCTGCCAGAGAACAGCACCTTCTACTTTTACTTCACCGGACAGTCTGATTGCTTTTATTTTGAAAGATCCAGCCCTTCCTGTCTCATGCTTCCTTTCTCACAAACACGGCCTTGCTGACCAGTCTGTCCTGCTCAGGTGAGCTGGTTAGTTAGTGGTTTAGGAACCAGTTCTCCACCTGTTGCAGGTTCTGGTTCTGGTGCAGGACCTCCAGACTAGAACCAGGACTACATCACCAGCTGCAGTCCAGTGCAGAGGTGGAGGACTTCGTCCGCAGGATGAGAGCCTTAGTAGGGAAGCAGCAAAGAGACGTGACAGGAAGGGCTGGGAACTTTCAGAATAAGAGCCAGGACGTTGCTCTCCAGTCAACCGATCAGATTTTGTGAGAGAACGTGAAAGGCTGTTAGAGGCTGTGGTGTTTCTGGAGGGTGGGGGAGG